ATTTGTGGTTGGGACCTTATAAAGATTGGGTAAGCATGGTTAACATCTTGCTTGGGAGGAATTTTCACAATACGTGCAAAGCCGTGGCAAAATACTGTCAGAAGCCCTTAAGGAGCAAAGGTTTTATTTTGGCTCATGGTTTTAGGGGACACAGTCCTGGAGGGTGAATGAGTCGTGGCAGATGAGGCGGCTCTGATCACAGTGCAGGAGCTTGGCAGGTCAGGATACAGAGCCTGGGTTGGAGGGGAAGCACCTGTCACGTTCAGGCCCTGCTTCAGCAGTCCACTTCTGCTAGCTAAGTCACTGTGCCAAAGGTTCCACAACTTCCTAAAACAGTACCACCAACTGGGGGGTGAAAGGTTCAAATACGAGTCCACAGGAGCCATCTTACACGCAAACCACAACATTGGACATAGTAATGGGAAATGCAATTACATAACATTCATACTCCTATTATCTTATTTCCTAACCCACAGCAGGCATCACTAATTAATCGTCCTTTATTTTCTGACAGCAGACAAATACTTTCAACTCCACCCTGTAACAGGCATTAACATTTGATCTGATTTGACTGAGCAGGGATGGCAGCTGTAAGGCTTTCTTGACCAGTGGACCACATGCTGAGCCTGGTACACAGAACTTGCTTTAGCATTTTAGTTTCCTGTGGCTGCTTTAACAAACCAGATGATTTAAAACAGTGGAAATGCAGTTTTTCACAGTGCTAAGGGCTAGAAGTCTGGAATCAAGGTGTCAATAGGTTGCTCTCCTTCTGGGGGCTGTCAGGAAGAACTCATTATCTGTTTCTTTCTGCTGCTGACATTCCTTGACTTGAGCTTCTCATGCTGCCATCATCCTGCTGGGCCTTCCCTCCCCTGTGTTTCGCTCCTAATCCATGTGTGGCTGTACTTACAGCCCAACTCTCTCATCCAAGACAAACTCCTCTCCACATCTTTAATTTAATTACATTTTGTTTGCTTCTAAGACAGTATTTTCAGATTCTGGGGACTTTAGGACTTGTACACATGTTTGAGAGAACCACAACTTAACCCATTATAGCACTAGGGTACCCAAGTAAATAAGAAATAACCTGGTTGCAAGAACTTCATTGACTGGTGGGAGACATAAGCCTATTAACTGGCAACTATAACATAATGCAATAAACACTCAAAAAATATGGTGGGAGGAGGACCAAGGAGAGATACCTCACCTTAGTGGACAGAAGGTTCTAGAAGGCTTTCTCAAAGAGGTGGTGTCTTTGTTATTAGTAGCTCATCACTTAGTTTGTTTGCACTTTCAAACTGTAGTCTTCTCTAAGCAGTCAGTAAGTATTTGACTTCTGCTCCTTTGGCTCGAAGACAATGCTGTTAGTCTTTTGAGATGCTACCTACCACGGGAAAACAGAGGCAGCGTGCATGCTCTGAAAGCTCTATCTAGAAAAAAAGGATGGATCATAGAGCAAGATGATTCAACCTGGAAAAGGAGACATGGGTGACAGAGCGATGAGGAGGAAGGAAGGACAGTTGAGGGTTGATGGGGGGTTGACATGAGAAGCCCTGTGTTATGGCTTTATGTCCTTAGTGATGCCCACTAGAGAGGATGCAGCTATCAAGACTGGTACAAATAAACCAGTCTCTACTTCAACTGACTTCAGCAGAAAAGGAGATCCTGTTAGCTGCACACATGGAGAGGCCTACATCCCCCTGCAGATCTGTCTGGACTCAAGGCTGCACATGACATGACTTAGAAATCTAATTGCTCTCTTTCTTTCTGGGATACGATTTCCATTGTCTTGCCTCATCCCGGTGGGCTACAGAGGCTTCGAGTTAAAATGTCAATGGGAGAAAAGCATTTCTTTCCCCGTGTTTCAATCAATAACTCCATGTTCTGAAACTTCTGGGCCCAGTGTAATTATGTGCCTGAATCAGAACCAATTATGGTAGTTCTGAGGTGTCTAGCCTGTCTGCTGTGAGCAGATGACAGACAAAAGTCAGCTTCTGCTTATAATTACTTCTGCCTCCAAACCATCGGAGTGGTAGTGAGCCATGGTTCCTTAAAGGACAAAAAATGCTACTTAATACCAGGAAGAGGAAGAGGTACTGATCATGCAAAATACGAGTATCTACACAGAAAACCATAACAACTGCTATTGTTACTCCAATGCCTGCCAGTATATGAGGCTTAACACAGTCCACTTAGTTCTTACAGTAATACAATAGACACTAGAGGGTGGGGAGTGTCCATTTTAATGCAGAAATCCAGACTAAGTGAAACAAAATTGTTCCTTAGCTCAGATGGACTCAAATCTGAGCTCATCTGGCTCTCCAGCCTGTTTCTTCTGCTAGATAACACCTCCTCTCTGACCAGTGACTTGTGTCTCTTAGCTTTCTGTGTTTCAATATCTTCATTTGTAAAATGGAAACCCTTATGGTTTGAATCTGATTTGTTCCCTCACTGATTCATGTGCTGTTGGAGGAGGCTGTAGGACCTTTAGGTCAGGAAGTGTAGCTGGCAGTGGTAGGGCCCTGGGCATATGTCTTTTAGGTATAGCCCAGTCACTTCCATTCTTACCTTATGCTTCTGGATCTTCCAAGACACGAGAAAGAGCAGCCGACAGCTCCCACTGCCATATACCGGGCTGCTCCACCATACCTCCCCGGCAGTGATAGATGAGACCACCTTAAATGGTGAGCCAAAATAAATGCCTGCTCCCTTAAGTTGCTACAGTTAGGTATTTGGCTACAGAGAGAAGAACAGTAACTAATGCAGAGATCTTGCTCACTGAGCTACTGCAAGTGTGGAATGGTATGTAGTCAACAAATGTCAGCTGTCACTATTGGCTGTGGCTAGGCTGTCCAGCATGCCCACAGGAAGCTATTCAGGGAAAGTAGTGTGATAAATTGTCCCTCACCCCAGAAATCCCACAAAGGGGCCAGAGATGGCTTCTGCAGGCAGATTCCAGGCCCTCTTGTCCCCGACAGACCTCCCACAATTAAAGGATTCTACAGAGGCCATCAGCCTGCAGGGTTCTGAGAATTCCATTCCTATATCCAGAATGTCGCTTTGTCTAATTTCTAGGAGGGGCCACTTGAACACTAGGCACAGCTGACAGGGCTTCAAGGCTTCCAGCTGCCCAGGGAAGTACTGGTCTCCAGTTCCTCTTCCACCTGTCCTCCAGGGAGGTGGCCGGCTGTGCTGGAGAATGGTGAATTCTGCCTGCGTCTGCTGAACTGAAACAGCATATTGATGATGGCCTGCAAATGTGAATTAGATAGGAGCCGCTTTGCACTTCAATAGAATAACAGGTGTTAGTCCTCCGTGGATGGTGGAGTGGAACTGATGCTTTTCTTTTGTTGGGATGCAGGGGAGGTGAAGGGAGTTGCCTCTTCACATGTGCCACTGATGATTTCTGAGTTCGTGTTTTGTATCCACTGTCTGCCTGACATTTTTATTCTCGGTATCTTATGATTCCTTACCATAGGCACACCCTCAAGGAAAGATTTTGTTATCTTAAGTGCACTAGTGAGCTTTTGCTACCACAATAAAATATCTGGCCCCAACTTGACCCTCTTATAACAGCTCGAAGCAGTTCAAGTGGGGGAGCCGATGGTGGTGGTGCATGCCTATAATCTCAGTTATTCAGGTAGCTGGAGCAGGAGGATCGAGAGTGTGAGTCCAGTCTGGGCTACCCAGTGAGATTCTACCTCAAATTTTAAATAATTAAAAAAAAGGTTAGGCTGTAACTTAGTGGTGGAATGTTGCCTGGCATTTGCAAGGCCCTGGGTTTATTCTTCAGTACAAGAAACAAACAACCCCTTAATAAGTTTTGTGAGAACAAGCTTCTAAAGGCATATGTCTAATGACTCAAAGATTCTCTACTGGGTCCCAGGCCCCAAAGGATCCACCAGTTCCAAAAAGCATCACTTTGAGGACCAAACCTCCAATCACTTTGGGAAATGGGGACAGAAACCATACCCAACCCCAGCATAAGGTTATAGATGAAGACTGCCATGTTCCACATCAAGACATCTTAGACCAAGAGCTTGAATGCAGATCTGTTTGATGCAGGGACTGCACTGGGTGCATGATATCGCTCCGTCTGGACTTCGGGAGATATTTTTGAAGGGAAGACACTGGGCTTTTTTATATGATGAGTTCTGGGGCTACAGCAGGGTTTGGCCAGTGTACCCTGTGAAAGATCAGGTAGTGAGTGGTTAGGATGGAGGGGCGGGGGGTCACGCCTTCTCTGTTTTCTTCCACCCTCATCCTTACTATTGGAGCAGTAAAAAACCCAGACAGGGTTACAGAAACATACCCAGGCACTCGCTGCCTTTTTCCAACGAGTAGATATGAAAACTTATTTAATTTCCCCAGGTCTCTGTTTCCTCACCTGTAAAGCGAGCTATAGTGCCCCTCAATGCCAATTCTAAGTGTGGTCCTTGATGCACTGTGATGACTGAGTTTATGCATGAGGAGCTCTTGTAACGGTGTCTGCCATAGAATGAGGGGCAGTACCAGTTGGCACCATTTCAGTCAGTGTGGGCATCTTCAGTACCATCCACCTGGAGCTGTTAGGTATGATCATGGCTAAAAGCTGCTTCACGGGGTGTCATTAGAATCAGAAAATAGGTGCGCAGGAAGTACTGGGTGACCCACAAGACAACTCCTCCCACCTTGTCAGGATAAGAAGGTAGAATGGCACAGTCACATGCATGTCCTTAGGACACCTGAGACTTGGTTGGCAATACAGGGCTTTAGAAAAGGTCAGTCTCAGAGCAGGAAAGTCAACCCTGCATAGGAGAGAAACCATGAGACTTAAGTGCAAAGGACAGTTCCCAGATGGGTTCCCTATAGAAACCAGGTTTAGAGGGATGGGGGAAGAGTGCAGTGACCATCTCCTATAGAGACAGTTACATGAAATCCCACTATGACCCCACAAAGAGAAGTTCCACAGGGAGGCACTGGTGCTCCCTACAGCATAGTCTCTCCTGGGTTTCCCGCAGATGACCTACACACTGTGAATTTCAAGGGATCAGCCAACATCCACGGAGTTTAGAGGGGCTTCCTGCACACCCAGTTTATGTCTTCCACCTACCTGGCCTCCTTGAATGTGATGAGAGAAGCACAGAATGAATTTAATGGCTTCTGCCAACATAAGCTGCCAAGATGTCTGCATGTGAGTTTTAGCTGTGATGGGCAATGTGCCAGACAGATGGTTAGCTGGGGTTCCAGAGTCAAAGACTGGGTTCCATGTTCTAACACAGCTGTGGTTTTCTGAGCGATCACAGGCAGCCTGTTATCAAGGACTATGGGGGTCCAGCCCCTCGATAGTCCCCTCCCAGGGTCCGGGAAGAATCTACAACCAGCTGATAATTATCTTTGATGAAAAGAAGTGAATCTATATACACAAAACTCCTTAGTCCATATACTTTATTATTCTGTGACAGTTATAAACTTATATTCTGCTCTCATATTTAGGTCATCTTTAGCCTGATTTCTCTCTACACATGTCTCCGATCCCCTCTAAGTTCTATCTTAATTCCTTCATCTAGTTCTGCCCCTTCTAGGTTTTCATCCATCTGTTCCTTCCCATATCATCTCCTCTCCCGTCTCCTTCTCTCTCATCTAGCTCTTCCTCATCTTCCATCTCATTCCTCTAGTACTCTCCTGTAGCCCTTCAATCGACTTCTTCCCCATCTCAGTTTGTTCCTCTCAAGTTCTTACCCATCTAGTTCTTCCATTCTCTTCTCCTCTCTCTGTCCTCTACTTTACAGTTATATATCTCCCCAAAATCACAATCCTCCCCTCCACCCAGGACACTCAGCCTGAACTTCCTCAGGCAGTGATTGTCCACTATCAGGATCAAATGGAGGGTTGATAAGAATTACAAAGAGGGGCACTAGTTGTTAATTACCATTTGTAACCCAAAGGGGAAGTGACTAATGAATTAACTAAAGGCTAAATATGGGTAATATCTAAGAAGAGGGATCTCACGTGCACAACTATAATCTTAAATGTGTTTGGTAAAAGATGTTAAAAATCTATAAGTTG